AGAGAGAGAGAGAGAGAGAGAGAGAGGAGAGAGAGACCGACCAAATACTGGCAAGAGTGTGGAGAAATGGGAACGCTCATTCACTGCTGGTGGGAATGTGAACTCATGCAGCCACTACAGAGAGCAGTGTGGAGAGCTCTTAAAAAATTTAAGTGAATCTACCATATCCAGTTATACCACTTATTGGCATGTACCCGAAGGACTCATACCATTGAGGTACCTTCACATCCATGTTTGTTGCTGCTCTCTTCACAATAGCTAAGAAATAGAAACAACCTAGATGTCCCTTAACTGATGAATGGATAATGAAAATGTGGTACATTTACACCATGGAGTTCTACTCAGTAGTAAGAAAAGATGAAATTATGAAATTTGCAGGTAAATGGATGGAACTAGAAACTGTTATACTAAGTTAAGTATCACAGATTCAAAAAAGCAAGCAGCATATATTCTCCCTCATTTGCAGATTGTAGCACCAATCCCTTGTATGTGAGTATATATCCTGATGTAACAGCAGTAGCCAGGAAAAGGGAAAGGAAACACAGAGGTGAAGGGGGAAAGAGCCTAAAAGAGGAGATCGTAGGGAACAGATGTTATGGAGAGGGATGGGGAAAATGGGGTATTCGGCTGGGATGGGAGGAGGGAAGGACATACAAGGAACCTTGTGATAAAGGGGAAGAAGGAGTACAGGAGTGGGAGGGGATAATAGGAGACAGGTATTCTCCAGGGGAAAATGGGGAATTTGAACTAGGGAGGTAGGAGGGAGGTTAGACAGGGAGGGAACGAGGAGAGATAAATAAAGCTTAGGTGGTGTAAAAAGACAGAGGGAAATGTATTAACTCAAAAAACCTCCTGAAAAATACACATACAGTATCTGAACATTAGTGCATGTGTATACCTGAAGGTTATATAACAAGGAGCACAGTGCCAGACAGGAGAAACTGCCCTTTGAGTTGTTGGTCAGAGTAGTCCAAGAGACTCCAAAATTACACAGGCTGTTGCCACAGTCCTTGACTGCCTCCCAGAACTTGAAGGTAAGACCCTACTGCTGAAGACAGGATATACTTTGGACACGGGACTTGGAGTAAGGGAACTGGAACTGACCTGGAAGCTCCTCCACGAAGACGAGCTCTCATAGTTCTAGAGGATACCATGCAAGCTGCTAAGGGAGAAAATCAGTCAATGATCCAACCCAGCCCTGAAGCCTAATGACCGGAACTGGCACAGCAGACCACCTCTATTGGTGTAGCATTGGCACTGTTATCTACGGAGTAGTCCTAGTTTTCTCTTAATACGTTGTTGTTGAGGGCTGTCTTTCCTGATGTCTTTGTTATTGGCATATAGAAAAGCTACTAGTTTTTAATACGTTGGTTTTTGTATTCTGCTGAAATGATCAGAGTTAAGATTTTACTTATATATATAGGACCTATATATAAAATATAGTACCACATCATCTGCAAATAGGGACAATTTGACTTCCTTTCTTGTTTGTCCTCTTTATTGATTTCTTCTGTGTCAGTGCTCTAAGACGTTGAGCACTATGTTGAGTAAGAACAGGAGTGAGCCTCCTGTCTTGTTCTAGCTTTAAGAGGAAATGCTCTCATTTCCCTGGTTATTGTGATGTTGGTTGTATGTTTGTCTTCTGTAGTTTTTATAACGTTCCCTCTAGTCCTAGTTTCACCAGGGCTTTTATGATGCAAAGATGTTGAACTTTTCCAATGCCTCTGTTGTGTCTATTCAGATAATCATGTGATTTCTGCTTTAAGTCTATTAATGTGCTGTACTATACTTATTTATTTGTGTTTGTTGAACCAACCTTCATCCTTTAGGACATGACAAACCTTGTCATGATGTGCGGTCTTCTTAATGTCATCTTCAATGTGGTTTGCAAGTATTTTGCTGAGAATTTTGCCATTTACATTATCAGAGAAATTAAGTCTACAGCTTCCTTTTGGGTGAATCCTTATTTGGTTTTAGTGTCAGGGTAATATGTAAATGTGTTTGATAATGTTCTTTCCTTTTCTATTTTGTGGAACATTTTGAGAAATCATGGTATTAGGTCTTCCTTAAATTTTAGTAGACTTGAACAATGAATCATTCGATGGACCCTGGGCTTTCCTTTCAGGGAGACCGTTAGTTACCGCTTCCTTTCAGGGAGACCGTTAGTTACCGCTTCAGTCTTGTTGCTTGTTATGGGCCTCACTGAACCTTTAAATCTTCCTGCTTGAATTTTGGTAGGTCATTTATGTCAGGGATTCATGCATATCTGCTAGATTTTTCCAGATTTGGCATGCATAATTTTTCAAAGTATACCCTAATGATCCTTAGGGTTTCATTGAAGTCTGTTGTAGTAAGAGAATTGTGTCATTGTTTTTTGGGAGTTTTTTTGGTATTTTGAGACAGACTCTCACTGTGTAAGTGTGACTGGTCCAGAACTTGCTGTGTAGAACAGACTTGCCTCAGACTCACAGAGATCTGCCTGCATCTGCCTCCGGAAGACTGGGATTAAAGTAGCTTTTTTGCTTGATGGTTTATTATTACAGTGTATATTCTCCTGAATATAGGCTAAAACACACATAAGCACATCCTACCCGTGCCTTTCTCACTCTACATGTAATGTTTTTCATATTTATTAACAGTTTTTAGGATTTCATACATGAGTACTATATCTCATTTCCACTCCTCACTTTCCCCTCTACATCCTCCCAGGTCCCTTCACTCTCTCCCAATTTCCTGACTTACTTTTAAATTATTATTGCTGCATATATGTACATATATATGTGTGTGTATTAACAGTCTATTGAATCTGTTTAGTGTGGCTTATATGTACATGTGTTTATGGCTGACCACTTGAGACTGGATAACCCATCAGGGAGCTCATCCCTGGAGAAAGCTGATTCTCCCTCTCTCAGTATCCATTGACTGCTTGTGTTTCTTCATCTAGGGGTGGGCCTTGTGAAATTTTCCCATCCATGTTGCCATGTCAACTGCTGATATGTTATGCAGGTCTTGTTTAGGCAACTTTTTTATTGAAAGTAATGTTACATTTTTATAAATGAATTAAGTGAATTCATTTACTTACTAAAATATCCTAAAGATGTTTTTTCATGTTAGTACTAGATATTTTTCAGCCTTTAAATTATTTATTTATTTGTTTTGTATGTATGAGTGTTATAGCTGCATGTATGTAAGTGCACCCATGTCGTGAAGTGCCCACAGATGCCAGAAGGGGATGACAGTTCCTCTGGAACTGGAGTTATGGATGGTTATTATCTGCCATGTGGGTGCTGGGATTCAACCCCAGGTCTTCTGCAAGAGCAGCCAGTGCTCTTAACTGCTGGGCCATCTCTCCAGCCCCATATTTTCATTCTTGTTTATAACAGTAATCCACTGTGTGTATGGACTGCAGTTTGTGCAATACATGCCCTGCTTATGAACATTTGGACTGTTTCCAGTCGCCTAATCTCATAAATGCCATAAGCAAAATATTCTGTGACATGTTTACTTTAGATGGTACATTTAGGAGTCATTTCTAGGACTGGGACCCTTAGTCAATGATGAAGTATTTACTGATATTTGATAGACACAGCCAAATTTCAGTTTTAATCTAGTGTCACACTTTAGTAGTCCAGCCTGACCTAGATGTCTCAGTGAAGCAATCTGACATGCAGCTTCCTTTGTAAGTGGACCTTTGCATAATCTCCCACCATCCCATAAAATATGTTTAGTCTTGTCTCTCTGGAAGCTGTTCATTACTTACACTGTGTGTCTATGCTCCATTCTCACTGCACATCAAGTCTCTTCTCCTGGCACTCACTACACTTGGCTGCTTCCTGCTTCTGTAACTTCCATATTGCCAGAGCTTTATTTACTGTTTGCTTAGTTTTTGGAATTTCTGCATTTCTACACTAGAAGAGTATAAACACTTTGAGGCTTATGGCCATGTATCCCTAGAAACTACTCAAGGCTTCTCGTAGTTGCTCAAGAGTTGGTGAACTGAATGTACATTTTTGGCATCATGTCCTCTCCTGTGCTGTTAAGAGTGAGCCAGCTGTGAAGGTGCTGCTTCTTCCCTGCTGATGTGGGACTGACAGCACCTGGGGCTGGCTCCTTAGAGGGGTTCTGTTGTTAATAGTGCTAGCAGGCCTTCATGTTCCTGCACTCCGCTTTCTTCTCTTCAGAAAGAACCAGCTCTGTACGAGTATACCTTTCTTTCTTAAATAATGAAACAGCTATCAGAGTTCAGCCAAGTTCCCTCCATCATAGCTGACTGAGATCAGTTTCTGTTAAAAAGAACCTCAGTCCTGACACAGGGTAGGAGTAGATGGGAGTAGATGGTACATTGCAGCATAGGAGGGCATATGATTTGGTATATGTTGCTGTACTTTCCATTGCCTCTTGATTTTCTCAGTAAAAACCTGTTTTCATAGGGACAGGCATAGTTGAGGCCACCCTGCCTCTGCTGTGTAGAGAGGCACGACTTACTTTCCAGGCCAATTTTTAAACTTTGTCTGCAATTAAAAAATAATTTATTAGGCAGATAATGAAAAGATATAATATTAGATGCTTTGTTCTTACCAGTTTGATTATACTGTGAAGTTTTATTTTCTAGATAAGCAAATATCTGATGTCTTTAGACACAATAAAACTTGGTTTACTCCTCCCCACAAGTTGACATTTTAGATTATTCATTCATAAAAATGATTCCTATATTGGAAAAATTCCAGTTTTCTCTATTCTTTTATGTAACTTACTGTAGACACAGATCTTTTAAGGGAAAATACTGATTTATCCTTTTAGAAAAGCAAAGTGTTAAGTATGTAAAGTTTAATTTGGCACAACTTAAAGTACTCTGTTTTGTTAATGAAACATGGATGTCTGGTACTTGCTATATTGTCTAGAGTACGAATTATAGCATTCTTTACAAACTCACCCTTTAATTTCAGATGTTTGGTCTTCACAGAGTAGTCAGTCTGCCAGCTACTCTCCAAGGGCAACTGAGAGTTGCTTCAGTTCTAGCTCAGACATAGTAAGTTGTACTTTTTAAACTTATTAATATATGCTATAATGATTTTGAATTTGTTTATCTTAATTTGAAAAACTGAACCAACAAAGAATGGATAGAAGATCGTGGCTTCTTAGAACATGAATTGTGTTATTCCCGTTCTGTGGGTTTCTGTGTTCCCTGCAGTGTCTCCTGGCCCTGTGCCAACGGGTTTCTGGCCAGCATCTCATATCTGCCCTTTCCTGTCCTGATCCACATGTGCTAGCTGTGGCCTCTCTTCTGCTTCAGACTCCTGCATATTCTGCTTCCTGCATCTCATACTTACTCACATGTCAAGCGTCACTATGTCACTTATGCGGTAATTTCCTCCCTGACCCCCTAGTCTAAATGAGGCCCTTAGTTATGCCCTTATGCTTGGCTGTAGTGAACTGCAATCCCAGGAAATAATATATTTCAATGTACAGCTTTCATAGAGTTTTTTCACTAATCTAAATAAAATTATTCACAACATTGATACATTGAAGCTAGCACAGTCCGCCACTTTCTACAGCAGTTGAGCTATGCATTGTTACTGCTGTAGCTGAGTCCTGTTAGCTGACCCCCTTGTTTGTCCCTAAGACAGATTGTGTGTCTCATGGGATAGACTTGATAAAATTATGTAGCTGATATATTTTTACTTAATGAGTCAATACATGGACAATAAAGCAAGCTATATTTATTAGCTACTCCCCTCAAAGATGTTACTTCTCTGCCCTTTTTAAGTCCCTGAAGAGTATAGTGAGAGGGAGGGTGATGTGTGACTGCAGTGCTGAGATTGATCTTCTCTTTTGCCCCTTTGTGGTTTTACCTCAGTGATTATGATTGTCCTGGATATTTTGAAATGCACAACCTTCTGGAAGGTGTGCGAGAGTCTTGGAATAGTCATTCATGATATATCTGCTTTGATCTGTATCCTGTCAAACTCTCTTCAGTTATCAGAATTACCAGTTATCATCTGTTAGGAATTTTAAAATCTGTATTGAAATGATTGATTTTAAATTTACAACAAATTTCTTTTCTTTTAGCTATCTGAAGAGGAAGATCAGATATCGCAGCAAATTGAGAACTCAGATAAGAAAACCTCAGAAGCATCTAATAATTATTATCAGGAAAGGACAGTGAAAAATAATGCTGATCAATTTCCAAAGTCTCAGTGCAGTGCAGAACACATATTGCAAAACAAAACTATTCCTGACTGCACTCTTCAGGTTGGAAGATGTGATACAGGGGTACAAACAGAGAGGGAGCCTGCCGTGGGGGTGAAAATAGACGTTGCCATACAGTGCAGCATGATTTCACATTGTACATGTAAACGTGCCGTGTCCCCTTCACAGTGCTGACACTGCAGTGGGAGCAGTAAAGCAGATACCACTGGAGGGCAGGATGCCCTTGGGAATAACTCTGATGCCTCAGCCCAGGGCATAGTGTTTCACTTAACCTTGGAAGGCCATAGGAAAAAGTTCAGAAGTGTATTAACATCAGTAATGAGAAAATAAGGCTAAACAGAAGTGGGGAGTACTCAGAGGGCAGTTTCTAAGTATTTTTGTTTCTACGAAATTTTAATACTTGTGTAGTTAGTATTTTATGTAGACATTTCTTTACTACTTATTTGTAGAAAATCTACTTAAATATATAGCCATTCTCATGTTTAGTCATTCTTATTGAGATTTAAAATATTCTTTATTGTTTTATTCCTATTGATATTTATTTGTAACTTTGGTGCAGTTACATCTTACAACAAAATGTTCTCTTAAAAATTTTAAGATGGGGACTAGAAAAATGATTCATCAGTTAAAGGTGCTTGCTCCAAGCTTGATGACCTGAGTTCAAATTCCCTAGAACCCAGTAAAGGTAGAAAGAGAAATCCAGTGCCACAGAGTTCACACCCATCCTGTGGCACACGCACATATGTTCACACATGCAAGATAAATAAAGTGTAAAAAAATAAAGTTTTAAATAAAAATAATATCTAGTGTGTTTTATACCCTCATTGAAAGCATTTTGTTAGTTATTCCCCTATAATATCCCGTTTAAAGTTCTGAATTAATTTTTTAAAGAAAAACTCTTCCCCATCTCCTTCTTCCTGTCCCCTGGGGCACATCCTTGGCAAGTACACTGGCTTTGAACTACACTTGCAGTCTATGGGTAAGTTTGCACATAAAATGTATGTACTCTGTTGAGATAACATGGGCTATTGCTTGTATTAGTTTGAAGAAAAATGACTTTATCTTTTTTTTTGTATTGGCAAAATATACTTTGTAAGTGGTTTACATTCAATTCTTTATTTTTTATGTTTGGGGTATGTGTGTGTTTCCCCAAGTATGCCACAGAACGTGTGGAGGGCAGAGGACTTCTTACAGGTGAGTGCTGGTTCTTTCCTTCCACCCAGGGATCAAATTCAGATCATCTAGGCTTGGTGGCAAGCGCCTTTACTCACTGAGCCATCTTGCAGGCCTGGTTTGCATTCAGTTCTATAAAGAATTCTTATAATCAATAAGAAGTCAACTATTAAAATGTGAAAAAAAGTTAGTCACATCAAAAGAAAGGATACAAGTGACTAATAAAACCCAGTTAAAGTTTCTTAACATCATTAGTCACCGGGGAGATGTAAATTAAAACAATAAAATACTATAGAAATCTAGTACGTAGGCTAAAATTAGAAACATCAACAAGAAAAAGGGCTTTATCGTTAAGAAAAATAGTGTCTTAATGTCTTTATAGAATTGTTTAGAATTGGAAAAAATTTAAATTATTTATTCTAAAAATTATTTTCTAAATTTAATGTTGCTAAGATTCTTTTAAAAATATTTTATTAATTTTTGAGTTGTGTTACATACAATGTATTTGATCACGTTCCCCTCCCTCAACTCCTCCCAGACCCACCCAGCTTCCTGTTCTTTTTCTTTTTTCTTTTTTTCGTTTGCCCCAATTTGTGTTGTCCAAATACTCTTGGGTGTAGAACAAGTCCTGGAGTGTGATTGCCTACTGGGTGTCACACCCTTAAAGAAAACGGACTCTCCTCTCCCAGCAGCTATCAAATGCCAACAGCTCCTCAGGCAGGGCTGAGGTTTGAAGTGCACCTCCTCCTCCACACTGGGATTCTGTCTGGCTTGATTGAAGCAGGTCTTCTGCATGTTGTCAAAATTGCTGCATGTTCATATGTGTTGCTGTTCAATTCAGTGTGTTCAATTGCCCTGCTGTCTGGAAACCAGTCTCCTTGTCATCACCCTAGCTAAATTACACAGCAAGAAGTCCAGGCCAGTTGCTGAGAGTCCACCAGCCACCTCCTTTAAAAAATGACTGACTCTTGGAGAATTCCACACAATGTAATCTGATCCTATTCAGAGACCCTGTCTTCGCCTGCCCTACCACACAGCCCTGCTCATTTCCTCTGTTAGTACTGTTTAAGAAATGCCTAGTGAGTTCACTTTGTCTCCCCAGATGCTCTTCGGTTCATAAATACTATGTATTTTTTTCTAAAAGATGTGCTATTTTGTGCCAAGATTTTCAGTGCTTGTATTCTAAAATCAACAACTGCTGGGATATATAGATGTGTTCCAATTTATGATGGGGTTACATCCCAATAAACTGATGATAAAGTCAAGATACTACAGATCACAGTGCATTGAATACACCTAACTTGCTAACCAGCATGACTTACAACACAGCATGCTCTCATCTGAATTCTCCTTGTGAGAATGCATGGTTGGTCAGGAGCCGTGGCTTGCGTCATTGCCCCCGGAATAGTGCATGATCTGTGGCTGACCCAGGAAAAGTCCAAATGGAAAGTGCGGTTATGACTGAACAACCGCTTCCTCCTGCTGTACACTTGATAAGTCATGAGACTGAACCATGGTCAGTTGGAGACTACATTACAAAGTGCCCAGTTAGGCAATCCGATGCCTAACTGAACCAAAATAAAATTGTACAAACTGTAAGGGGCTTCTGTGCCATTAAAGAAAAGAGTGAGGTGCTGGAGAGATGGCCACAAGTTGAATCCTGCTGCTCTTGCAAGGAACTGGGTTCGATTCCCAGCACCCACATGGCAGTGCACAACTAGCAGTAACTCCAGTTCCAGGGGATCCAAAGTCCTCTTCTGGCCTCTGCAGGCACCAGGCATACACGTGGTTCATTTGTATACATGCACTTAAAATACATAGATAAAATACAGCCTTGAAAAATAAGAATGAAATGCAAACAGCTAATATTTAAATCGTATCAATCTAGATTTTTAGCTGGTTTTAGGAAGTTACTTTTGCTGATTCACAAGAATGCACTGAGTCCTAAAGGTATTTTCATGAAATATGATCTCATGAAAGGGAATATAATCTGAGATACATTCATAGAGTTTCAAAAAGCGTATTTTCATTCTTGTGTTAAATAAAAGATTGATTATACCAAACATCATTTTGCAAAAATATCTGTATTATAATAGTAAAGGCTGATGGAAAAGATTGTGCTAGTGACCCAGGAGGAAGACTGAATCTTGGGTAGGTTTCAGATTTCAAATAAACTGATTTGCACATAAGAGCCAAAGTCTAACAACATTGAAAGTGGATTAATTATAAAGTCTGCACCTACTTCCATATTTATCAGTATAACTTAGCAGTTAAGCTCAGTAAAAAAAAATTTGGGGCTTTTAAACTGCAGTGGTAGCACACAATGAAAGGAAGGCAGTTTCTGTGTAGTCAAGAATCTACTCTTGTCTGGCCTTGTGTCGGAGGAGTAACTTCTACAACCTGGGAGGGTCCTGCCTAATGAGTGTCTTTATTTCCCACAGAGAAGTTAGGCCAAGCCAGACTGCAGCAGCCTAGGTTAGGATGGAAGTTTTGAGTCCAGCAGTACCAGCTTGACTTCCTAGTGGACTAGAAAATGCGGCAGCCCCCACGCCTCTGAGGGAGCCGGGTTAAGACACTGGATACATGGCTCAGGCAGATTTCCCTGCTTAGCAGTGCTTCGTGTGGACAGTCAGATCATTTCTAGGAAAGCAGTGCTACCCATAGCTCCGTGGGCAGCACTATTAGAAGCTCCAACTTTTACTTTCTTAGCTGCCCTGTGTTCCTTCCCTGGCTGACTTTAATATGCAATCTTTACTTGTACTAAACCACATCTGTGAGTATATCGATGTGCTCAAGTGCCATAAGAATTATCAAAACTGAGGGTGTTCCTTGTAACGTCCAAACTCGAATAGGGTGGAGACATTATAGTTGTACTGCCAGAACATGCGTGCACATTTCTCCCTGGAAGGAAGTCTACTACGGATAGAGACTGTTTGCCCAGCCAGGGGCTTCCTCAGCAGCCAGTTGTGGTGACCTGGAGCCGGTCGAACCTGTGGAGCTGTCTCCAGCCCCACAGAGACCATTGGGAGCGGAGAGGTGCAGCAGCCCACAGCACCCCAGAATGAGGAAGCAGGGTATCTGATGGGTGACTGGCCCCTATCTATGCCACTGTACCCAACATTGCTCTTTTGACAAAATAGATGATGGACGTTCTATACTGGACTTCATTAACATTTTTCAAATTTCCTCTTAGGCATCCAAGACTAATTACACTTGCTTGGAATGGACAGCTGTGGGTGGGCCTTCACACATAGTACCCACCCTTAGTGGATAGTTCACTGTTGGTTATATATCAGAACCAGATAAAAGCTTTCATTATATAATACCAATTCTTGGGTGTCTTACAGATTCGGGAAAGCATCTGGAAGAACAGTAAAAGCAGCAGTTAAAAAGTTTGAACAAAAGCAGCACTTGGGTAGAGAAGGGCACTCTCAGGAGACATAACCGGTGGATGGCAGGGCCAGGAGCGAGTGGTTTTCCTGTAAGCTATCAGCCAGGGAGGCTCTCAAGGCTCTGCATACCGTAAAGACTTTTTAAAAACATTTATGTGGTGCATGTTTACATGTGTGGGTGTACACTTGCCCCATCAAGAGTGGTCAGAGGACAACTTGCAGGAATCATTTTCTCTCACCATGTGGGTTCCAGGGATCAAACAGATCATCAGCCTTGGTGGCAAGTGCCTTTACCCATTGAGCCATCTTGGCAGTCCCATAAAGGCCACCACTGATGGTTACATACCAGAACTAGATAAATCCCTATTGCTGAAGACATCATATTCCTTGACTGCCACATAGAGAAATCATGCTGGGACTTAGCTGGATGCTCCCTTCTTGCTGGTTGGCTTTCCTAATGCTGGAACGTGTGCCGACAGCTGAGGGAGAATTGCCACCAAAAGTCCTGTTTGGTGTGTATCCTGTGTAAACCCTATTTACACTGTAAACATGCAAGGTTAGATGTGCCCACCAGTACAATAATGGCACAGTGATAGTGTCACTGCTGTTAAGGGTACACCTAAGTGCTCCGGATTGAATGGAGGCCTGCTGCATAGAAGGGAATTTAGCACTGTAATACAGGGCAAAGATTTGTGACTAGGTCATATGCCCCAGTGGGCAGCAGCTGTTGTTGCTTTGGTAAGTGGTTGATGTGCTTGTTAATTT